CCCCCCCCCCCCCGCCATAAATAATGACGGTAAATGACCGGTCCCTTATTCAATTGAAGTTTACTCGTATGTCAAAATTTAAGTCTGTGAATGCCACAAATTTTCTTTTTACTTCTTGTTAATAGCTTTTTGATGTTCCTGAGGAATTTTCAGCAGTGTATCATCGTCAACCAGTAAGATTTTCTTGCTTGTGCGATATAATTCTGAACACTTTGTCTGTCAATATTTCAGACCAGCCCACGTTTTGCTCATACATGATCGCACTCTAACAATTTATTTTAGTTGGACAGTATATTGTATCAGTCGTTGAACTGAACAGACCTGGAACGCTATACCTCCAACGGGAAATTTGAAGCCAAACTTGAAGGCCAATCCCAGTCTTTTTACGCATGCGAAGACCACTCAATCTGTAAATCGCGACATAAATACGTGTGATCTGACCTCCAAATAGACACGCGTGCCTGGAGGTCAAATTTGGCTTTAAAAAAAAGATGGCCGATTGCGTGTGTATCTTGAACATTGCTTCAAAAAATGATTTTTAAAACACACTGTTTCGTGCACTCAAACTGACAGTTATATTTACTGAAATTACTTCAATCTCTTCATATTTCTAGGGAATATTTGACACCTGTTTCAATGCTGGAATATTGGTCTTCAAGTATGAATTAAGTCGACTTCTTTTTAATGTTCTTGGTAGATTAGCTTCAGACCATGGGTTTTGTGCCTTCATCGAATTTCACGATCTTTGCTTTCTAAAAGTTGTGTTTCTCTTTTGGTTCATTATGTAGACCATCGAAACAAGTCTACAACGAACTGATAGATACTTGGAAAGTATGACAATTTATAATTTTATAATAAATATATTTGTACCGGAGCCATGAGCAATTAATTTTACTAATTCTGTTACGATGTTTGTGATGTTACTCTGAGTGTATATCCACACCGGGCGAGCTTGAATTAAAAATATGCCCGGCCACGGTGGGACTCGAACCGTCCTGACCGCGTAGCTCAGTTAGCAGAGCATTGGGCTAGTATTCCAAAGCCCAAAGGTCGTAGGTTCGATTCCCACCGCGGCCGGGCATATTTTTCAAGCTCGCCCGGTGTGGATATACACTCAAAGTAACACCACAAACATCATATTCACACCTGAGTACACAACACGAGCACAGAAAAAAATCATATTACTAGATTACATTGGTATCGAAGAAACTAGATTCTGTTCCGAAATATCACTTACTCGAACCGTCCTGACCGCGTAGCTCAGTTGGCAGAGCATTGGGCTAGTATTCCAAATGTCGTAGGTTCGATTCCCACCGTGGCCGGCACACTCTTCAAGCTCGCCCGGTGTGGATGTACACTCAGAGTAACATCATAAACATCATATTCACACCTGAGTACGCAACACCAGCACAGAAAAAAAATTATGTTATTATCTTTTCTATCAATGCACAGGAAATGACGAATGCAATTGGTTGTCCACATGACCAAAGAGTCCTTTGGTACTATTTTGCTTTTCAAGGTAAAATCTATACTATTTTCAGTGACAATGTAAAACACACCATGATATGCTATGTTGTTTTCAACTTTAAAGGGAAATGTCAATATAAATTTTTATTTTCTCATTTGAAAGAACTTTTGAAACTATATGTAAAATTCTTTTTGATTCTTCATATCTTGCTTAGTTCTTGAAATATATTTTCACTTGAAGTAATATGAGTTGTCCGCCATCTTGGATAAATTTTTGATCTCATTAACGGTTGTTTCGGTGACGTCACAACATGGATTAACCATATCAAGTATTCGTTGCTGACCAAATATTGATTGGTAGATGTTTTAAAGGTTGATCTTGATATTTCGAAGAGCAGGCAGAGTATAGTTTTGAGTGCAAAATGACTAGTGATTGTCTAGGTAAATCTATTGCGTGATCCCTGTTGTGACGTGACATGCATATCTACAAAAATTAATGATAGCGGACATTTCATTCCTTTCGATCAAAATATTTGTAGAAGTAAGTAAGATATGAAGAAACGGGAAAAGAGGATTATACAGTATGTTATATCTTATTGGATTCTTCTGAGCCCAATATGGCAAAATATTAAGTCTCGACTTCAATATTAATCTCTAATATTGAAGTCTCGACTTCAATATTAGGCTCGACCTTCGGTCTCGCCCAATATTGAAGTCTCGACTTAATATTTTGCCATATTGGGCGAAGATGAATCCAATAGGAGTTTTATTATATCGAACAAAACAATTCTATAACAAAAATTGTCAATAAGCGATAAAGTAAATACAGCGAGATTAATACAGCGACAACATTACTACATATATCGGCGGCGAATTTGCTTAAATAACTAAACAAAACAAGTTTAATAAACCTGTTTTTTACAAATATGTGTGCATAAATAAACTCAATTGCACGTATGTTTAAAGGAAATTTGACCTAATTTTAACGAAAAAAATAATATTATAACTTCTAGGCTGTTGCAAACAAATAAATTTCGCGAAGACAAGTTTTCCCGCGCTTTTATAATTTTAAACAAAACTGGTAGAAAACACTGTATTAATGTCCCAAATTCGTTTCATTATTCTGCCATATCGTTTGTCGTATGTTTGAAATTGACAAAACATCTGAAAAGGGTTGAAAAACCATGAATTCGCAACTGTCCAATAGGTTCCTGTCCAATACCGTAAAATATTGGATCGGCACGTGACCCTCTCAACGATTACTGATTGGTTAAGTGCGCGTGAGAGTATAATAAAGTCCCTTTAAGACCACACCGTGCTTCATGTCATCGAAACGTTTCGCCAAGTGAAATAGTTTTGGCATCTATAATAGTTTCTGTATACCCACAATTTTGTCGAAGCAAAACATGAAATTAGGGACCAGTCATTATTTATGGCGGAGGGTGGCACCGAAGAGAAATGTTTTTCTTGGTAAAGATTTTGCTGACCCAACCATTAAAAAGTCTAAAAATTTTACCCAACCTCAAATATCAATTAAAAAAAAATACCCACCCCTGGCCAAAAACTTTACAAAAGGATACCGTTCAGTTGTCACTCGTGTCCTTTACCACTTCTGTGACACGAGTTTGACAACTGCTTGTGCAATTTTCTGCATGTAATGTTTCGTGTTGGCTGCACGTGTACTTTCTTTGGAGACACCATTTGCCTCCTGACAAATCGGAAAATGATCAAGATAGTGACTCTGATTGATTGATTCACATATTGTATTTACATGTATATAACTGTTGACATTGCTTGTTAATCTTCGATATTCGTCTGAGTCATGCTTAGGAAATGAAAATACATTTTTATTACCCAACCCTTAAGGTAATTCCGCAGCAATTGTTCCCGAAATGAGCATGTGCTGAAACTTCCCAGGCATGGAGTTTATGATATACTTAAAGTAAAATCGCAAAAAAGTCGGGGTCACCGAACTCGTTAAGAAGATATGACAATCACAATATACCACCTTTACCCCATATGGCGCCATCTTGACGCTCATTACGAGTAACAGCAAACTCACAACAGACCGATATTTATTGACGTTTTTAGCGCGGATTTTGTGTTAGTGAAACCTATCTTGTAATTATTTTTGAAAAAATATTGTATTTTGAGCAAAATGAAACTACTATACGTGTACAATTCTGATCCACAAATGTCTTTTGCACATTTCTTTACATATCTTTCTTTGAGAACATGCATTGATAAAGCATTTTTTTTCAAGATCCAGAAATGATTTTTCTTTTAATTTCGGATATGAAATGTAAAATGCATTAAATAAATAAATTATCAGTTAAAAAATGGGGGTCACCGAACTTTTTAGGGAATTGTGGCATTAAAACATGAAATACAAGTAAATAAATATACCACAGACACAGGAACCCTAGCTACACTTTTGTATGCCTTTTTTGAAAACATTGATTTTAACGTAATTCTTTGCACGAATCTAACCAAAGATGTTTTGAAGTAACATAAAATTGTCATAAAACGATATTTTGTTTTAAACGGTACGTATAATGGATGAAATTATAAGTTATAAGATGTGCGCAGTAAAAGTGCGCAATGCAAAACTGCGGAATTACCTTAAGTTGTTTTGTTTTTCATTTACCCAACCTTTTACTCACTAAAAATTTCGTTTACCCAACCCTTTTTGCTTCAGTGCCCCCGCCATAAACAATGATCAGTTCCTTAATATATCTCTTGTATTCAGGTCGATGGAACCCTCTACCGTATGCCTACAATGTCTGGAGACTTTCATTTTACCCTCTCAAGGGAATTTGGAGTCCTTTGGTTAGATCTTATAAAATTGATGAAAGTTTGTATTATCCTATGAAAGGTAACTTATAACAATCTGAACTGACTTTATTTTATACTGGATAGTTCTATCACTTCTTAACTGTTCTCCCTGATGGTCCAGTAAGGGTCCGTATTGATCCAGTGCCACTACAGGAGGAAACCTAAACTGAACTAACTTTATTTATACTGGATAGTTCTTATTATCAGTTCTAAACTGTTCCCCCTAGAGGTCCAGTAAGGATCATCCCTTATTGATCCGGTGTTACTACAGGAAGAAACCTAAATAGCTAGTTCTATCAGTTTTAAACTATTCTCCCTAGAGGTCCAATAAGGGTCATATCCTATTGATTTAGTGTTATTACAGAGGAAACCTAACCTAAACTTTATACTGGATAATTATATCGGTTCTAAACTCAGTCTCCCTTGAATTCCAGTAAGAGTCATCTCTTATTGACCCAGTGTTACTGCAGAAGGAACCCTAAACTAACGTTATTTATACTAGATATCTTTATCAGTTCTAAACTGTTCTTCCTGGAAGTCCAGCAAAGATCATCTCTTCAGTTTTGAACTGTTCTACCTATAGAGGGCCAAGTAATCTCTTATTGATCCAGTGTTACTAAAGGAGGAAACCTAACCTAACCTAACTTTATTTACACTGGATAGCTCTATCAGTTCCAAACTGGTCTGCCTGGAGGTCCAGTAGGAGCAATCTCTTATTGATCCAGTATTATTCTACTAAACGAACTATTAAGACTGCCAAGCTATATTATTTGTACTATTTAAAACACGAGTAGGAGTGAGGCGCAGCCGAGCGTTTTATGTCTGATAAAAAACGACAACGATTGTTTTGAATAGCTTAAAATACGACTACAAAAGAATACTAATTAGGATGAACCATTATATAATCATACTAATTAGGATGAACAATTATCAGATATTAAGTCACTCCACGTGACATATTATGGCTGACATGATTTGCCACAAGGTTATGAATTATTAATGAGTATTTTAATGTTATATAGTAATACACGTAATATCCATTCTATATTTGTTTAGCATATCATTTTGCTGGTTTTGGTGTAATAAGAAAGCCGTGGGAAGTAAAGACAAGGCCGTCAAGACTAGAATCATCCAAATTCACTGGACCACTTCTGAAGTAAGGCACGATCCATTCTTGACATTATATAGACATGAAAGGTGACAAGTTTAAGTGGCAGGCTGGCTGATAATTTTATCGAGCGAACACCAAAGACAAGTTGTTACAGGTCTGCAAACAAGTTGTTACAAGTCTGTTCACACGATATAATATCGTCAATCTCATTATTAATCCATGAAGAAAACACAAAATAAATCATGAGCGTGAAGGAGTTTGTATATCTGATACAGAATCATGATGATTTACATACACTTTAAGTTCAATTTTCTTACCAAATATTAATTTGTTTTAAATTGTTGAAGAATGCGAAAGTTCTCATCAGCAGCCATCACAAGCCTTTTACTCTCGCCATCTGCTCGCATCTGCCTTCGCCTCCCATCATATTCATGTTTGATTTTTCCTGGCATTTGCCGCATCCATTGGGGGGGGGGGCAGTTGACTCACCCCCACTGCCTCTCTGACGCGTACGCCCATGTTCTGCTCGACTTTGTATATCCGAAACAATACTGCCATTCATGTTGTAAACAGTAGAGACCTTACGATTTTAGGATCCTTCAAATAAATGGTAGTAAAGATAATTCGGCGTATATTATCAATCGTATGAATTTAATACAGTCTTAGAAGTCGAAGACATGGGTTTTATGTTTGGGAAGAGTTCTGCTGAACCCAGTTTGAAGTTGCACTTGTTGCGGCTTGAAATGCAGCCGTTGTATCAAGAAGTGAAAGTCTGTGATTTGGCGTTGTAAACAGAGCGAATTCGAAGCTAGGACCAGGGACGCCGGCACTGGGGGGCAGGGGGGGCGACTGCCCCCTTGCCTTTTGCTAGGGGGGGGGCAGGGCGGGCAGAAGTGCCCTTTTAGTTGTAAAATACTACGTGATAAATCACATTTACAACAATGCTTTTTGTACGAAAATCCTGAGATTCAGACAATTTATAGTGTATATTTGACTTTTGGTATGTCCGGAAAAAATTTTTGACCCCTAAAATGGTACACTGATTTTTCAATTCTTTTCAATTATTTATTGTATTGGTAGCCGTTGCCGTCCCAAATCGTAAGGTCTCTAGTAATGTACTCAAAGGGTTTAAACTGGAGACTTGACATATATGAGACATATATAATCCAGGTGTTTAACTGCCTTCGTCAATTGATCTCTTTAGACGAGAGGATACAATATCACTTTGGTGGCAAATGTTTTACGAAGCAATTGATGAGTTTGAACTCAATGATTGGTGGAAAACGACAAAAGTTTATAAAAACACGTAATTAGACACAAGATATATTGAATTTATAAATACATATATGTAACTATTTTTTGTCAATTTTAGATAATTTATTGCCAATACTAGAAATTTTAATGAAATGTAAATTATAGTTTTTAATATAAGTATAAATGTATAAATTTTTGCATTTTTGTGATTCGAGCTGTAAAATAACGACGTTCACATGACACTAGAGATGTGTTATTTGTCTCAGTCAATCAGATTGAGTCCAAGGGCGGATCTAGCCTCATCTGCAAGGAGGGGTGCAGGTTTTCCATGGGGTGTGGTGCATGAGGAAGCCTTACTGCCCACTCTCCTCTGCAGTCTGCAACGCTACTATCCCAACATTACCATTATTTGACATGGCCAAATCTGCATGTTCGCCGTTCTGAAACGTTTATCATTATCTTTTGTTTATAAAGTTTTTTTCGGCTTTTTATCACCTATGCGTGACTGTAAGTTGTTGTTGCACAGTTTTGTAAATTTGCTTGTCAATTTACTTTTAGAGTACAGTATATTTTAAAATATGGCTGTATAACAACCTCGACATGACTATATATTTAACCATGCTATTTATCTAAATCATTCTGAGTATTTTCTCGTACGTGAACTCACAAATCAATTAACCCCCGCGGTACATCCGGTCCTCCTTGAAACCGGTCTGTTTACCACAGAATCTGCGAGTGTTCATTGTTAGATGCAAGTGACGGTATACTTCCGCGCACTGTTCGGGAGTCTGGATCCGTGTTTTTCCCTTTCATGGAAACGAGGCTGACTTCATCCCTTCAGCAAATTTCTAAATTTGTGATTTTAATCAAGATATACAGCTAATCTTCCAAGCCATCATTTTAACCAAAATTTAGATAAATTTACTCTAATTTTGCTGCCATTCGCGCTGCTATGAACGTAACTATAGTTCTTCTCGATGGAGGGCAATTTGAAGTCCAACATTTGAGGGTAAGTTTACGATAAACACTCGAGTTTTATAGCTCGCTTTATATTTATACGAGCGGTCGACGTGCTTTGCACTTGAGTTTGATAAATGACATGAATTTGCGGCTCATTTTAAAGCGATGCTATAAATTTTTAACTGTCAAGGTTCCCGCATTTGAACGCTAGTTTCCGCCTGTTAATTTTGTGTAGAGTTTAGCCTTTTTAGATTATTTTTAACAGCGTATATTTATAAGGTCAACGAAATTTTGAGGCTGTCAACTTGTTTAACACCACATGTTAAAACGCTTTGCTTTGTAAATTATATTAACTTTAATGCCTTTTAAATAGCAAAGAAAGGAGACTTACGCTTTTCTCTCGTTTAAATTTTTTGACGAAATGTGATATCGCACAACAGCTTGGCTAGTAGAAGTGGTCCTTCAGCTAAAGATTTTGTTTTTATGACCCTTGAATCACACCGTATCTGTGACTGATATTTTGATATCTTTCTGCCAGTTTATGTTTCATAAACGAGTGTGGAGACGCTTCAAAACGGTGCATAAAGCCCTATTTTTGCTAATATTTCCTTAGGAGAAGTTTTTATTTTGGTTGATTTGAAAAAAAATTGTAATAAATGCTAATTTTTTTACAACAGGAAATAAGATTATTGTACTAATTAAAGTCAAAAGTTCAAGAATTTTGAGGACTTGACACAAACAAGCATATTACTGTATTTTGACTTTGTGTTTTTACTTTATTTGGGGTTTTTCTTGAACAGAATTAAGCTAATTTGAAAAAGCAACAATCAAAAATAACATTTGCCCTAGATTTGTTAATTGTATACTGTTATGTTTATATAAATTGTTAAGAGCATTTGGAATTTTTTATCTTTTATAGCAAAGTTTTTAATTTTTGCATGACAAACTAAACCACAAAAGTGGGTTTTGACCACACGTAGATTAAAATTACGAATAGAAAATTCTTTCAATGCATTTTGGCAGCCAAAATTTGTTAATATTTAATGATTGTTCAACGAGCGATTATGTGGAAAATTTGCAGTTTTAATTTGTTATTTATTGCCTTCAGCCATGTTTTGAGCCTCTGCTGTTCTGTTTAATATTTTTGCTGCTTGCTGTTGTTGAAACTTTATTTAAATATAAATAAAATAATAATGATATTATTTTACACATATTAACAAACCCACAGATGCATCCTCTCGCCTGAAAAACACATCTTGTTGTTGTGTGTCAAAACTTAAAATGTCAAACTATTATTGGCTAATTTGTTTAGTGATATAGCCCGTGGATTTAGCTGGCAAAATCCTATTGCATTAAAACTGTTTACGGTCTTCATATAAGCTATTGGATAGTGATTGACAGAGAATCAGCATCGGGCTGATTTTTGGCTTATCAGTAGACAGTCGGAATCAGTAGAATTATCTATATTTCTGATTGTTTTGAAAACTCATTGTTGAGAAAATACACACTTTAAAAATTATATGCATTGCACGTTGATACATATTGCGTTTTAACCAGGGCCGTCCTCAGGAAATTCTTCAGGGGGGGTGTTAATAAGGCCAATTCAACCGACTGGTTCAAAAAAATTTTTCCGGATCAGAAATTTTTGGTCGACCTCCCCCCCCCGTCGCCAAAAAAATTTCGGTCAGTGTACCATTTTAGGGGTCCAAAAATTTTTCCGGACGTACAAAAATTTTCCAGAACATTCAAAAATTTTCCGCACATAACAAATTTTCAACATTTTTTTTTACATTTTTCCAAAATTTTTACATTTTTCCTCAAAATTTTCCTAAAATTCCCACCACGTTCTTGCCCTTTGCGCCAAAAATATTTAACCCAAATAGCAGTTCTACCGACTGAATAGCAGTCCTACCGACTGAATACAATTACTGGGGGGGGTGTCACACCCCCCCGTAGCTCCGGGCCTGGTTTTAACACACTACGTTAAATTCATGCGTGAAGCGTGCCAGTCATTAACGGTTTTAACGATAAATCTGGTTACAATAACACAGTAGGTTGGAAATTATTGTTAAAAAATCGACATGAATGAGACATTATAAAATCAGTATCGGCGTCAGTATCTGGCAGATTGTAGCATGAATAAGCGGTAAATGTCTGATTGTTGCAAAATCGGTCAGTCACTACTATTGGATGTGAATTTCTGCCATCATGTTTCACTTTTCTCATAGGCCCGAATGACTGACATTCTTGCTCCAGATATATGGAAGAATTAGGATATAAACTTTATAAACGAAAGATAATGTGAAACATAACAGAACAGCAAACATGCAGATTTGGCCATCTCAAAAAATGGCAATGTTGGGATAGTAGCGTTGCAGACTGCAGAGGAGGGTGGGAAGTAAGGCTCCCTCATGCATCACCCCATGGAAAACCTGCACCCCTCCTTGCAGATGAGGCTAGATCTGCCCCTGTGAAGGATTATGTGCATAAATTTTAGAGTGTACAGGTAATGGACATTTCCCATTATAACTAAAATTTTGATCTAGACACAAAAATTTCATCACAGCTTGCAAGAGCTCTCTCCTCCGCAGAGGCTTTAGTTTTCTTAGGATTTAGTATTACGATGAGATACATTTCACTGCACTTTACATGGCGGATCTTGAAACACGAGCGTAGCCGCTGGGCGAAGGAGCGCAGGCGGCAAAGGGAAAGGAGAAGGAAGGCCTTCGCGCCTTCATAGCCAATTATAAAGCCTCTGCGGAGGAGATAGTTGCAAGAGCATCATAAAATTAGTAATATTCCAAACTTTTGTTGCAAAATGTTGTAAAATGCGGATAACATAGCCTTGTGAAGTTTGCTGTTTTTCAGTCACCTTGTATTACGCATGGGAAATCGGGTGTTGGGGCATCAATTTCCCGTTTGTAATACAAAATGACTGAAAATTGCAAATTTTGCAAGGCTATATTATCCCCATTTTACAACATGTTGCAACAAAACTTTGGAATATTTACTAATTTTGTGATGCTCTTTCAAGCTATGATGAAATTTTTGTCTAGACTTATCTAGATCAAAATTTTAGTCGTAAGGGGAAAGGTCCATTATTGTTGTGCAGTCAGTATCCAGAAGTGGGATACTAGATTCTCAGGGGGGGGGGGGATACTAAAACTTTGAAAACTAGTATCCCAGTTGGATACTGAGAGAGAAAAATTTCAGACCATGCTTATTTCCACTTATTGTAGAAAGGCACATTGGGCAAAGAGATCTTCAAAAATGCTTGTAACAAGATTGGCTTGACAGATGAAACAGACTACTTCGGACTTCGTTTTATAAACAAGAAAGATGCAGAGGTGAGTTTGCATAAAAATCTTGATAAAAACACCTGGCTATTCATGAATCTCCTGTTTGCTGCAGTAGCTTGACATTGTGAATTTTTTATTGCAGTTTCAATGGGTGGACAATGAAAGATCTATTAAGTCACAGCTTGGGAAAGGTATGTACAACCTGTGGTGGGAACAATATTTTACTTTCTGGGACCGCAAGACAGCGTTGAAAATTTTCCGCAAGTAGTCAAGTACATTGAGACCTGGACACTGTAACCGTGTGACACTAACAAGTTGTCAAACTGGATTTCATGCTATATTTTAACCAATTTTGCACACCTGATTTTCAAAATTTTCTGGAGGAACATGGAACCCCCTGATGGCACCCGCCTCCCCATCTTTTTTTGCATCAGTATTTAACTTAGGACCGGACCCTTCACTTAGTTTTATGTCATATTGCTAAAAGTATATTTACTTTACATGAAGATTGTCAGTGCACTGAAATTATTTTTTTCTGTTAACTTTAAAAAAGCATTTGCCATACAACATTTATTACATGATTCTATAGTCTATACATTTATATATACACTGTTGCACTATTAACCCATTGAGTCGCATTGCACCCTGATGCACCCTACTTTAGTATTTTACTCTGTCTAACGCCAGACAATTTTACTCGTCAAGGGGAGAGCGCTGGTGCTTAATGGGTTAACTGGCCTATCTGCCCATGTGTCTAGTTAACCCATTGAGTCGTATTGCACCCTGATGCACCCTACTTTAGTATTTTACTCTGTCGAACACCAGACGATTTTACTCGTCAAGGGGAGAGCGCTGGCGCTTAATGGGTTAATTAAGATTGATGCACTTATACTTGCATTTCTGAGCTCATACTTTGACTACATGTAAATTCTTTCTATTGGGATTTTCTTCAGAATTTTTCCTTTTATCTAAATTGTTGCAATTATCTTCTTTCTTGGGGAAATATTTTCTGGGAACTCACAAACTTTTCTAGGACCAAGATTGTGGTGCGGCTATACTTTTTCCACCCCTGTGTGTTACTTAGCTGACAGGCTATGTATTGAGTCTAATTGTTTTTATTTATTTTCCTCTTTCATTTCCAGAGGCAAATGATAATGTAACACATTATCTTCATTTTGCTGTCAAGTTTTTCCCTATAAATCCAACCAGTATAAAGAATGATTTAACAAGGTAGGATTGCCGATCAGCTGTACATCCTCCTTTCTATAGGCTGCTTTGCTCATGCGAGCATAGTGCTTTATAGGTTTGTTGTTGCAAGAAATTATGTCCACTCTGGTGCTCGCAGACATGTGAGTGAAGTTGACATGTTCTCAACTTTCCAGACAAACTCGTGCGATCGTTAACTTGCATGGTTGGAACAAACCAATGAGATCACTCAGATTTCCTCTCTTTGCAGATTTCTTGCTTCCGTAGTTTGTTTTTGTACTTCTTTCTGCTCAATATTCGCTTTAAAATTATCTATTTAAGGTTACAGAACACTTTGAGTGTTAATTTTGCCTAAAATTTTTTTGTTGGTCTCCATGAAAGCATTGAACTAGATCTACCATCTGACCAAGTTTGAAACATTGAAAATGTAATATTCAAATTCAATTTTCTCCCGAAAAATTTTACAATAATTACTGATTTTCAAACGAGTTGTGCTCCTGCGGGTTTTAACCAATTTTTCTGAAATTTGCACAGGACATAGCTAAAGACGTCTGTTTCAAAATTGTGTTTGGCTTTTTTTAATTTTGGATATTTTAATAATAAAGAACAATTCACTCAAACAATTCAGAAATATATTGCAGTCGTCAAAGAAATCGCCATATCAGCAGAATGACGAAATAAACAAAAATTTCCGAACACAATTTTTTAGAACAACTATTTTAGTGTATAAAAATGATATTTTCATAAATTTAACTTAAACCAGCAGGAGCACAACTCGAAAGCGTAACGGTACTGCGATTTAAGATTTTCCTGAATAATTCTTACATTATTTTATTGTTTGTTAATTTTACAACTTTACCATATTTTGCATACACTGGCGAACATTTGGTGAAAATTTGATTAAAATCGGACTGATATTGAGCGCGCAGTAGCGGTTTTCCACAAAACGCGGTATTGCCTTTGTTTTTCCTGCGCATTCTGCCAGTGGAAAATTTTTGACGAGATTGGGCTGATTGGGGAGGCGGTGCTCTGGGGAGTGTTAAAACTGTCATCGAAATTAACCTCATGTAGTGTAGCCTGTATTGATTAGACAGCAAAACAACTGAGCTCTGTAACCCAATTATAATGTATCACTACTTTCATTCATCAGCAAGGTAACTTCAAGATTTAAGATGGCAAGAAACTAAAATCAGTTTAAACAGAATAGTACATCATTTTTGAAAATAACCAGGGGTCAGTTGTTCAAAGTTAGCTTAACCTAGGTTAACCTGACAGCATGTCTATAAATTTGGAAATATTTCTTCAGAGATCTTGTCTGGATCGATGGGAGTTCACTTCTCTGAAATTATGAAATAAACAGGCGTACAGAAATACACAAACTAAAACGACAGGGTTACCTTTTAACCCAGGGTTAGCGCTAACCAACCTTTGAACAACCAGCACCTGGCTATAAAGTACAGCAGGGTGGTTGAGAGGGCAGGCTTAGAGTGGAGGAAGGAAAACAGGAGTTTATATTCTTCTATAGTCCCCCCCGAGGGGGGGGGGTGTCAAAGGGTCTTAGGGCCAGGGAAGAAATTCAAAAGAGTGAAAAAGAAAGGAAGGGAATGGAAAGGTAAATAAAAGAAAGAAGAGAACAAAGGGAAATGAAAGGAAAGTGCAAAAGGAAAATGAGGGGGCAAAGGAAAAGAAGAGAAAGGACAAGGGATGAGAATGAAAAAGAACTGAGAAAACTTGGGGATCAGTCTCATACTATGTCAGCAAGGAAGGGGAGTGGTATCGATGAAGTATGACTTTTTAAGGCAAGAGGGAGAGGGAATTGGAACATAATGTCAATGTTTGAATAAAATTAAAAATAAGTGAATATATATCAATGTTTGTGAAACTAAAAACGTTTCTTAAATGAACGTAATTTGGAGAGAGGAGTGCGGTACGGTCGAATTCGGTAAACCACATGTTAAGCATTTAGTCGCTTCTACGATCAGACTCGTATTTTTAAGCCTGCCGCACACAAGAGATACTTTCTGAGCAAACCGCTTCGGGTGGCAGCTATCTCAGCTATGTATTTTCATCGCACACGTTGGGAAATCTACTCAACAACAACATAATTGACAAAATCGTTTGCATTTTCCTCCAAAGTCACATGAAGAAACTATGGTTTCGCATTGGCTAATTGATTCAAGCAGCTCAGCACGAAGCTCACAACATCCGCAGACGCTGAGATTTTTTGCTCGCGACTCGCGAGGTGAAAAATATCCAACACGATAGATATTTTATACCATATATAATACTAAAACTGTCTGTACCAGTGTGGGTAGTACCAAAGTGAAAATGCTGTGCGGAGTGGTTATATTACTACCTTAAAAAATAAGCAGAAACTCGACGTTTCGAGCCTTAATAGAATGAAAAAGAACTGAGAAAACTTGGGGATCAGTGTGAAAAAGAACTGATAAGGGCCTTATATAATAGCTGCCACGCGAGACGGTTAGCTCAGCAAGTTGCTCTGGTGCCCGGCAGGCTCTATTACGACTCATTACCTCGCATAGAAATACAATTTTAGCAATAACAGTAATATATAACTGCGATCATTTCTGTATAACATTTTCAATCAAATATCTATTAAACACAAAAAAAATAAGATTCGTTGCAACATTAACAATGTTTAACTAATTTGCGTTCAGTTCGGTACAGTTAAAATATGTCTAAATTCCACTGTGCTGCGAATGTCTCCAAACAAACTAGATATAAGATCAACATTCAACATATATCAGCAGTATTAATATAAAGCCATCGTGAGGCATGCTGTCCATATATCTGAAGTGCAGAATTACGTTTTAGTGTCCAAATATCGTCCTCTAATCTTGTCAGTCAAGGTCTGCTACAGGAGTTAGAATAAGAGAATCACTCGCAGGTTGCGATGTCATTGGTTCGTATTTTACTTTCAAGGCCTCGTGTAGAAGAGCCATTTTGAAGAACGTCGAGTTGTGATTACCCTCCTCACCAGTTAGGCGTATCTGCGTAACATTTCCCAGTTCAGAAACCTCGTAATTCACACCTTTGGGCATGCGACGACTATCAAATGCGTAATCAATTTTGGTAATGATTTTTTCTGGTCCACATAGCGTAACACATGGAGGTGTAGTGATTTTAATCAGACATTTTCCTCAAGCAGCTGGTATAGAATGTTGCGCAGCACTACACTTTTGTTATCAACAAAATACCTTCACTTACCAAACTGAAAGTAAAAGTACTCGGGAATTTTTGCCGTTACCAAGAATTACTGACGTGTTTTCTATAACCGTTTCCGGTTTCTGTTTTGAAATCCTGAAGCCAGTAGCACATGCCTGTAGGTAAAACCGATTCAATGAAACTACTGCATTTGGTTGTCTGTAAAACAAGAAATCGGGAAGTGGAATGGGGAATGGAATGAGGAACGAGAAAACCCGGAATGAAAAAAGCCGGAACTGTAAAACCCGGAATGAGAAAAAGCTGGAATCTGTAAAATCCGGAATGAGAAAAAGCCGGAATCTGTAAAACCCGGAATGAGAAAAAGGCGGAATCTGTAATGTCAGGGGTGTATTCTATAATCCCCCTTTCCTCCCCCTCCCCCGGGGGTGGAAAAGAATCAAGGGTCTTAGGGCCAGGGAAGAAATTCAAAAATAAGTGAAAAAGAAAGGAAGGGAAAGGAAAAGAATAGAGAGAGGGAAAAGAAGAGAATAAAGGGAAAAGAAATGAAAGGGGAAAAGGAAAATGAGGGGGCAAAAGGAAAAGAAGAGAAAGGACGAGGTATGAGAATGAAAAAGAACTGAGAAAATTTGGGGATCAGTTTCATACTATATCAGCAAGGAGGGGGAGGGGTATAGATGAAGTATGACTTTATGGCAAGAGAAAAGGGAATTGGAACATAATGTCAATGTTAAATAAAATTTTAAAAAAGTGAATATGCATTAACGTTTGTGAAACTAAAAACATTTGTTAAATGAACGTAATTTAGAGAGAGGAGTACTTTTTAAGGGTAACATCTCTAGTTAATATATCAATAATCAATTATTTTGTTGTGCGGTTTATCATTGAGGTGCAGAAGTTCTAAATAAACTGAAAAATTTGTTTTCAAAATCAGCATTGTAACATCATTTTTCTACCTTGAACCAAACGTTTTTTCGAAAATAATTCTTTAAATCGTAGGAAAATTACTGGAATAGTAAAGGTGGAACACAGACTCCGACCGATGCCGCGCCCAAATTTCTTCAAGATACGGGGAAGAAAATCAAAGCTGAAGGGGGGGGGGGGAGGAATCAAAGGTCATTGAAGAATATACACCCTTGAGGAAGAACAGAATTGATATTTCAAGTACAAAACAAAGTGACCGGTAATGAATCTCATGGCAGCTACCGGAGCTTCAGCAGCCTCCAGCTTATTTTGAAAGTCCTGTGCACTGCCATGTTTTGTTAACAATCTTGCTTGTTTTGTATCTGTTATAGATATCAATTTGTACTTCAGCTAAGAGAATCGCTTCTCAATGGAAGGTGAGTTCCATAATTGGCAGCCTATGAAATATTTACAGACGTGTGCAAATTTCTCATATTGCTGCATCAATTCATGCAGTTTAAAGCTCTAACTTTGCTTCTTATACGATATTACTGTTGTATTCTTCTGTTAGGTTGGAATGTTCGATACCTATTTATGCTTTACTTGGCTCGTTTATTGCACAAGGTAATGCAAAATTACAAAAAATATAAGAAAAAACAGATTCTGAAGAATAAAGTCATCTTTACCCATGGAGTTGCATTGTGCCCTACTTTATTATTTCACTCTGTCTAATGCCAGATTATTTTACTCTGTCTAACGCCATCAATATACACTTAATGTCTGCACCCGAGGGAAATAGTTTTGTTTTCCCGAGATTCTCCATGTTTCCCGAGACGAAGTCGAGGGAAACATTGAGATTCGAGGGAAAACAAAACTAACTATTTCTCGAGGGAAAAGACGTTAAGTGTTTTGTTATATAGCGACGAAACAAATATCAACATTGAACAACATTCATACAACAATATTTGTATTTCATGACAAAAACTCTATAGCGTAAACGAGTTTAAAATTTTAAAAACCTACTTAAATGGTTTCAGCAGCATATCCTGTTGCCTGTTATGTATTTTTCTTCTCTTTTACATTCTTTATTTTAACACAAAGCCACGAAAACAGTAGTTTAAATAGTATAAATTTGTGCCGCCATTTTGTTTATTTATGTACGTAGCCGGTCGGGGCGGGCAACAATTTTTCACTTATTGCCCGGGCGGGATACATTGCATTTATCTAAAGCCACGTGACTACAAATCAGCCAATCACGTTTGGTGTTCACACTAGCTATATAACAATTGGATATATTCAATATGTGGATTAAAACAAGACTTTTTTTCTGATGATTAATTTGAAATAAAATGAAAATATTACAGTCATAAAAAGTTGTATTCATTGTTTTAATGGAATATTAAATTTCAAGATAACTTTATTCTGCAGAATTTGGTTTTTCTTCATTTCTGCTTTCTTAAATTGTTGGCTGTCCATGGCTTTTAAAAACTCAATTTTGATTATTGCTTTCCTATGTTATATAATTATGTTGTTTTGTGGAATCTACTGTAACTGATGGAATTTAACCGATTGCGTGCCAGCACTCTCCTCTTGACGAGAAAAATAGTCTGGAATAAGACAGAGTAAAATAATAGAGTAGGGTACATTAGGGCACAATGAGAACTAACCATGGCGCGAAATAATGTAACGGCTTGAGGGTTGCCGGTCAAGGTGATAGCCAACTCAATTTTAGCTCGGACACATCGAATTTCTGGGTGATGAAGTTATTCAGCTTCTTAAAGTAAAGCCTACTAAAGTATATCTCTAAAAATGTGACTATTTTCCGATCCCAGTATAGCATTACAAAACGCCTTACTGTAATCAGTAATTAAAAACCCCATCACATAAAACAGCTTGGCCATAAAGCATGTAGTACATGTTGCATTTCTCATAAAGCGTGGCCATGGGCTTTGTGACGTACTGTGTGAGAAAGCTGTCGTACATTGAAGTTCTTTTTGCGCAAAACATTCGACAACATGTTATGGTTCTTAATTATAATACTTTATTTTGATTATTAATTCTTGAAAATGAAGATTAGTTCGTTCTTTTATCGAAAGTGGTAAGGTAAAAATTTGACCGGACAACTCCGCATTCTGGCCGGACATTCTCCGTTGGCTAAATTATAGATAAATATCACTTATTAGAGAACTGCCCTAATTCTTCTTTCAGCTGAATTTGGTGACTATGATTCTCCTGATATCTCAGCGAATTATTTAGAGGACTTTAAAGTTTGCCCGGATCAAGTAAGTGTACAGTAGACATGTACTGTATACTACGTACAGTGTACAGTAGACTTGTACTGTATACAACGTACAGTAATTCTTCCCCCTTGCAGAGCTATTACACAACACATACACTGTCAGTGGTAATGTTGGTTTTCTTACTGTAATCTTTTAATTTCAGCCCCCAGAGCTCGTCGAAAAAATCCATGATTATCATAGAAGACACAGGTGAGATTTCAAATGAATCGTGTAGTCTACAGTATAGTTATCACAATTACTAACTTCTTATTAACCGAGTGCGAGGTCTTTACAGAGAAATATCGGACTGAGGTCTTTTTTGTACAGACCGAGCCCGTAGGGCGAGGTTTGTACAAAAAGACCGATGTCCGATATTTCTCTGTAAAGACCGAGCAGGCGAGGTTCATAAAAAGTTTAGTATATGGCATTCATAGGCGTTTATACTCGAAACAAACAAGAAATGCATGATTTGAAATGTATATTAGTAGCGTGGTACATATGCATTTGGTCGAAGAAAACAAAAAATACCAATGTATATCCTTTCCACTTAAAACCATTCGCAGATATCTTATAACCAATAGACCTTTCACCTTATGAGTGAAATTTTGATCTAGATATGCCTGGACAAAAATTTCATCACAGTTCGAAAGAGCATCACAAAATTAGTAATATTCCGAAGTTTCGTTGCGAAATGTTGTAAAATGCGGATAATATAGCCTTGCGAAGTTTGCCGTTTTTCAGTCATTTTGCATTACAAACGGGAAATTGATAATCAGATGATCAAACTGATTATCAATTTCCCAATTGGATTACAAAATGACTGAAAAACGGCAAACTTCGCAAGGCTATATATTATCCGCATTTTACAACATTTCGCAACGAAACTTCATTGATGCTCTTTCAAGCTGTGATGAAATTTTTGTCCAAATTTGTCTACATCAAAATTTCACTGAAAAGGGGAAAGGTTTACTAAGCCATAGCAAATTAAGTCATAATTTTCAAATTTTCAATTAATGTAGTTTTGCTGTTTTGTTTTAAAATGCATGCGTTTGTTTTTACGTACGGTCCATTACCGGGAAATAATGGACCGCTGAAAATGCTTCTCAGCCAATCGCAGTCCGTTATTTCACCGGAAGTGATTCTTGCCATATAATAAATTATGGTTAATATTGAATAGGCATTATGATGGTGATCTTAACTTTTTATAATTTTATTTTTCAGAGGGATGACTCCTGAACAAGCTGAGCTTAATTTTCTCGATAACGTTCGGAAGTTACCCATGTATGGTGTTCATCGGCATTTAGCATTGGTAAGCAGTTTCCCTTCACAAGTTTTGTTGCTCGTATGCACGGAATGTTGTTAAACATTTACCTCTCGTCAAGACCGCCTTTTGCTTGGCAATACTAGATTCCCCTTATTACGTTTTCGTAGCGCTTTGCACTGTGGTTATAGTGGTATCGCTGATATTCAAGTTGGCTTATTTTTTGTCCTGACCCGTGCAAGAACTTTTTAAAAAAGCTAAGGTCAAATGCGTGATAGCCAACAGCAAAATCGCGAAAATATTCAATATTTTCATTCGAGGCCGCTAGCTTTATCTGTGTTACCACAATGCAAAGCGCTACGAAAACGTAATAAGGGAAACCTAGTATTCTTGTACACTTCTGAAATTTTCCTTGTCCAAAAGGCTGGCACGATTAGCTTTGGGACAAGCCTCCTTTGCCGTACAAACGGGCAAATAGAACTTGTCAAGAAAAACTTGCCCGTCTGTACTGGGCTTAAGAGATTTTCTACAGGCATTAGAGTGTGGACAAGGATACTGTAGGTCATTTAACCACAGCACTTTGATATCTTTGTCGTATAGGATGTTAATTGTGAAAAAGTATTTATTGGTGTTTCTAATGTTGCTGTAACTGTCTATCGTGGTAGTCGTCTTATGTCAACGTTTGTATGGTAAGTAATTTTATTATAGAATGTACGTAGGCTTTCATATTGTATAATAGCGAGCTTATAAGCAAGTGCTGTCTCTCTGAATTTTTTTTCCCTCCTGGTAAATGTGATCGAAAAAACGACTCTATACTTTTGCGTGCGACTTCACGCATTTGCATGAGTCAGAAACACAAAATCGCCGGCAAAATTGCTCGTATGATCCAGGCTTCAAAGGGATATGGCAATATATATTAAGTTTGTCTTATTTGAAAGAACATCTAAAATGATATATAAACTTCCTTTACAATTATTCCGTATCTTGCTTGGTTTTCGAAATAAATCGACTTATTTTGGTCAAAAGCAGCGTGCATTCCGCCATCTTGGATATGCATTCGATATGCATACGTCACAAGTAGGGTAGAAAGCGAAATTTTTATCTTGCAAACCACATGTCATTATCAATATGAAACTCGATTTTCCGAAGTCTTTTTTATCCTCAATGAACTCACAAGATTTTGAGAAACTTTGCGAAGAAATTTAGTCCCACATGAAGAAGTTTTAACAAGTTTACCCTGCTTGTGACGTCATCAAAAGCTCAGTCAATTAGGTCAATTATAATACCAAGATGGCAGACTGCACACTGTTTTTGGTCAAAATATTTCTAAAACCAAGCAAGATACGAAAAAGTTGTACATAAAGGGTCTTCATATAACTTTATAACTTTCAAATAAGACAAAGTTAATTTTTATTCCCATATCCCTTTAAGCTCAGTATTAAAATACCACCTACATTGGAATCCTACGGACCTCTACTGTATTTTTGTGATCTTGATGTTATTTTGTGTTCTTTTAAAATCCAGGCCTCAAATTCTTAGTATTGGTTTCAAAAGCAAGAAGTTCTATATCAAAATAAAACCCGCAGACGAGGTACGCCTTCAAGTTCAGTTCTTTTTCATATATTCTCCGGGACACCCTGTAGAAAAACTAACGTATGTTTATGTGATGTTTTTAGGATGATGACTTTTGTAAAACAAGTGTAGGATTTAAACTCTCAGATCGCGTGGCAGCGAAACGTCTGTGGAAAATCTGCGTCGAACATCACACGTTCTTCAGGTATAAGCTATGCTTGGCTACAGTAACTGTTATATTGTACACTGTATAATAGCGTGTACTTGTCGTTTATAAATTCGTCCGAAATTTATATTCAAGGTTGGAAAATGTTGATTTAGCAGAGAAGAAAGGTTGGCTGTCCCGGTTTGGATCTCGATTTAGTTACAAGTGAGTGGAGAGCTATCTTTTAATAATTCCTAATCGGTCAAACGAAGATGAGATTGCACGAGATTTGGCCGACTGAATGAACATAATGAATGAACATAATTTTTAATGAGGATACCAACTTCACAAGTAGAGGTTTACTTAGCTAGGGGTCCTCAGACAAGCAAACATATACTAAAAATAATTAAATTACAAATGAAAATAACTAGACAGAACAAACAAGTCATTACAATTCAGTTTTTTCGAGGCGATTATTAAATGAGGTTATCGAGGCAGGGTTTTTTTCAGGATTTTCTCTTGGGTCCGTTTTTACAGAGAGGATTGAGTTTAGCTGAACAGCTGGGGTGGCTGCGTTAAGCGCTAGGTTACATACATCACTTCTTAATGCTTTGCCAACACTGTCTTGTATTCTATTAAAGTTAAAACATACTGTAGTTGGAACACTCATGATCAAACCTTTATTTTGCTAGAGCTTGAAATGCTCCCATACAACGTGTGACTGTCACTCTTAGATGCATTATTTACAGTACATAAAGCGAAGCTTTTGTTATAGTGTAGCTCTATTGTGGCCGGGATAGCTTCCTCAAGATATACGGAAGCTTCAATTGTTATCACAGTTTTAAGAAAGCTACAGATGTTTATTATAATAATTTAAGCGAACTCCCACACGGCAATCTTGTAAACCTGTAGTAGTTTTTTTTTCAGATGTTGTTCTTAATGTTGCTGTGTGTTAGTTAGGATATCTACATACTGATGATTTACTGTGTTTAAATAAAGTTTTATTGTATTGTATTGTAATGTATTGTTTCTATCTGCAGGGGAAAGACAGAACATGAAATAATGAAAGAAGACCCCAAACCGACAGAAGAACCTTTCAGTCGAGTATCGAGCAAGAGATTTTCGGAGAGAGTTTTGAAAGGTGAGGGAATATCATCACTGAGGGTAATATTTGGCCGAATCCCCCGATCGGAGGGTCTATAAATGATACATTACGCCGAAAATTAAAAGCCTCCAAGTTGAGAATAAACCTGCCACATACCTTCGTGAATACGATGTTTCGTGAATACGATGGGAAATGGCAATATATTTTTTATTTTCTCATTTGAAAGAACTTTTGTGATTATATATAATACTCTTTCACCGTTTTTTCATATCATGCGTACTTCTACAAATATTTTGATCGAAAGGAATGAAATATCCGCCATCTTCAATTTTTGTAGATATGCACGTCACAACAGGGGTCACGCAATATTTTTATCTAGACAACAACTAATCACTTTGCACTCAAAACTATACTCTGTCCTGCCCTTGGAAATGTCAAGATCACTTATAAAAACCTTTAAAACATCTACCAATCAATATTTGGCCATGTGGTTAATCAAGTCGGTTCGAGTTGGGGGATATTTCGGTATCTCAGTTCGGTAGAGCATTGGACTGGTATCCCAAAGGTCGCAGGTTCGATTCCCACCGTGGTCAGGCAAACTTTTCAGCTTGCCCGATGTGGATGCACATTCAGAGTAACATCACAAACATCATATTCACCTGAGTACATAACACCAACACACACAAAAAGTATTAATTGTAATTTTTGTTACATAAATTTCATTCCTTTTTCTTAAGCCGCATTCATCAAAATCTTGTCGTTTTACATGTAGCGTCTTATAACAAACGTACTTGCAGGGAGGTGAGTCCGGGATTGGACGCACCGAGGGTGGCTGGAAGTTTCCCGAGCGAAGCGAGGTGAGTTCGGGAAACTTCCAGCCACCCGAGGCCTACACACATTTGTGTACGCCGAGCCATACACACATTTGTAGCTCTTCGCGATATATTCGTCGATGTTTTGTGAACATTTTCCCGGCCAAAAAAATCACTGGGCAAGAAAATACTTCTTTATCTACGTCTACATTACCAGGTGATCTGGGCGAAAAATTTTAGCCAATCAGCGCACAGCAGGGGCCCCCCAAATAGAAATCCATACCATACCGTGCTGCCGCGCGCGCTTGCAAACTCGAAGATTCTGTAAACATGGCGGAAAAATATAGCTAAATTATAGCTAAAACGATACGTTTAAAGAAAATTTACAACTCGTAGGCATTTTGTACTCACGTTTTACTCTTCGTGTTGGTGTTGGACCGCCGATTGACAATTTTTGAGAAGTCTAATCTTCAAAATCTCGCGAAATCTATGTTCGATGCCGCCGAAGACTTCAACAATTTGCTGTATTCTGTCTCGGGGATCTAAAGACGCATTCTTTCTGGCATGATCTCGAAGATTTAAAATAGCTAGCTGGGCAGCCCGTACTAGGGTAGGATCACGTACAAGTGGTAGACGATCGTGTGGAGTTTCCCCTTCGGTAGGATTAAAATTGGAGTAGTCGTTGCAAAGTCTAGTGCGTAAGGCAGAACATAGTGATGGTATTCTTTGTAACTTTGACTCCAAATTCTCGGGGAGCTTCTGGAGATGGAATACAATGACTAACCTTGATGATCTGCTTGAGTTGGTAGGGGTTATTTCTTTCCAGACCTGAGAACCGTCCAATCTTT